CCCCCCCTGCCATATATTATGAACGCAGCCTTATGGTGTGTTTCTAAAGTCTGATCTAACAACACGTCATTCGATATGGAAAAATATAGAAGTTTCTAGGGGCATCGAAAAGGTGCTAATAAAGCTTTGAAYAGAGTTAATCGATTCACTAAGCTTTTACTCTGCTTTGAAGTAACGGTCGAATTCAGAATATTATTCAAGATGGCTGATATGACACCAGAAAATAGATTCAACGCTTTAATTCTAGACCTAGCAAAAGATATTAAGCAAGAAGAATTCGAAGACTTGAAATTCTTATGCCAAGATATTCCTGGAGCAGGCAACACAACATCGCCACGCGAGTTGTTTGCAAAACTTAAAAAAGGAGGAAAACTTAGCATGCAGGAAACAGGATACCTCGAAGMACTTTTAAACAGGATTCATAGAGTAGACTTAAAGAACAAGCTTCAGGATTTTATCGATAGTAAGTATTGAATAATTCTCACAGCGCAACGGGCAAAAGTATAGCGGATTATGGTTAAGTGTTTGATGGAAACATTTTGCAWGTTTGTTTTGACTGGTATAGATTGAATTTATTCGAAAAAATGGTGGCAAGGGTCAAAATAATCAAATTCGCTCTTCTTTTGAAGTTAGATAGGCCATTATTAGATATGAATCCCTGGGTAGTTGGTTTTCGAAAATATTATTTTATTTTCGAGAAAACGGCCACAGAAGAGGTTCGAGCGAAGCTCAAGCAAGAGAYGCTCAAGAGGAGTGAAAATGGACAAACTTTGAACAAAGCGCACGTCAAAAATAAACCATCTATGACAGTTTTTGAACTTTCATCTTAATGTAACACCATTTTTCGTTCATTGGACTGAATTTCGAGCTTATTGGGAATGGAACGATTTTTTGGCGAGGAAAAAATAGAGTACCGAAGTTTGACGTCACGAAAAACAAAATTTTGCTTTTGACAATTTTCGATCCTTAATTTCGATGAACATCAAGAAAGACATCGGTTAAAAAGCAACGGAGATATGGTCRCTTGAACCAGGGCAAAAATACAAAGATTCGTATGAGGAAATTATATATTCAAACGGCCGTAGTCTATCTCTGTTGCTATTCATCCAATTCTTCTGAAACTTGGCGTGTTGTAAGCGTCTTTGATTTAGATCGAAATTATAATATAGTGAAAATAATATTTTGTGACGTCATCACTTCCGTACTCTACTAGGAGGTCCGTATTTACATATGCTAAAATTCAGAGCGAATTTTGGACAATTTTATTCTCGCTCCCTTCGCAAAACTAGTGCGTCAATTTAACTGTATTTTCCACATAATGTGCTTGGATTATCGGCTAGATTCTAACAGTGTATTTTATTTTAAGATTTTTTAAATGTTTAAGAGTAGATGTCAGCAAAAATCAAACAAAATCGAAATTTGCTGGCAACAGTCAAAAAATCGATTTCGCTTATATTCAAGNTTCCTCGTTTTTCTCGGAAATAAAGCCATATTTTGGCAAATGAAGTATACCACGGTTTATATCGCATCAAGGTCTTCCTAATACTAAAATATGAGCAAATTAGATTTTTCGACTGTTGCCSGCGTATGTTCGATTTTTGTAGCCTGCGTAGCCGGGCGTTCCCCAAACCCCACAAGGAATGCCTGGCTACGCAGGCTACGATTTTTGCTGACATCCTCTCTTAACCTATTACGGTCGAAAGTCAAACAGTGTTATTTTTAGATTTTAGCTTTTTTCTCCTCATCCTCAGGTACGATTTTTCTGAATTTTTCTGAATCTTTTAATCTAGTACTAATGCAGCCTGTGTATAAATATGGATGGAAAGTCTAGGGCAGAAAAAAAGTTATGACGCCGCTTGAAATTTCGATAAAAAATATGAAGCATATAAAACATCGCGCTGTAGAACCATTACCATTAAATGGATTGCCTTGAAGTTTTCACATACCTATTCAAGTATTGCGGATGAGCCTTACGAAAAATCAGCATCGAATCTTAAAAACTCATCGAATGAATGTTTTTTTACTAATTGTCGTTGTAAACCTCAAAAATGAGAGTTTTGCTAAAAATCACATTTTCGCCGTTTTCTTCAAAACGGCTTCAAATTTTTTCTTCAAACTTCCTACATCATTAGACCAGAGCTTTATCTAGATGGTAGTGAAATTTCTAAAGCTCGTCCTATCCAAATTTGAGGTGAAGTGTACCTAGAGAGCTAGAGAATTAATTCAATATCGGTCGACCACAACGCTCTCGGACATTCCACAATGTTAAAAATCCTTAGTCCTGCGTTGATTYGAGAAGCGTGATTTTCGCATGTGTTTCAACCAAATTCAACAGGTTTCTATGCAGTCGGGATGTGAACGCGCATAATTAGAGGTGAAACATCGTCTCTCCCCTAGCAATAGTTGACATTCAATCTAACAACAAGACGTTCAAACAATTAAAACAAACGTGCAAAATGTTTYCATTAAACACTTAACCGCAATCCGTTGTATAATCTATATTTAAATAATGTATTCCCATACTTCTATGCAAGGGCTTTTTCCTGTCAAACCACAGGCAGCCCAAACAACGTTCCTGTGTATGGTATATTTAAGGGAATGTATGGGAGTCATGATGAAGATATGATAATAAAATGTTTCAATYAACAATTTGCTTCAAAACTTGCTGCAGTCGCTGCTTGACCTAGTAGGTTTTTTTCAAAATTCACTCTTCTCTCTCTAAATATTATCACTAGTACAACACCCTTGATTCCTCCACTCCAATGTAATGCATAACTTTTGCTCACAACTACCTACTCATCAGTCCTCCCTTGTTGGTGTTACACYGTAACACCAGTAGTGGATCCAAGGGTGGTTCCATGGGTTTCATGAAAACCTCCTTTGTGAGATCTTGTGAAGCAAATCCTTAGCTTCTTCATGCAAAAGAATTAAATTGGAACCCACCTTTGTGAAGCTGATCACACCACCTTTGTTTTCGGAGTGGCGGCCATCTTGGAGCCCCCTCTTTTATAAACCCTGAATTTGCCACTGCACACATCAATYGATTAATTTAATCTAATTTAATTTAAAATGCTTTGCAGATGCTAACTGTAATGAAAGACATGGTGTCAATGAAAGTCAAGGAGCACAGACATGTGGGCTACCAGTAAAGCAGACTTATTTCATTGGTCGAGATGCCTTAGTAGAGAAGATAACCAAGGTGTATATCGCAGATACGAAGCCAATGGTAGCTGTCGTGGCACCACCAGGGTTTGGTAAGACATGTGTAGCTACTCATGTTGGTCATGCTATGAAAGATAAGGGGTTCAAAGTCATTTATGTGTCCCTTCAAAAAAAGCAGTCTTGTCATTTGATGTGCCGTGATATCTTAAAATCAATAGATTCAAAGATTCCTTTCTCAGATGATGTTGTTCAGCAAACAAAAAATCACCTCGAGTCCCTGAAGCATAAAACTCTTCTCATCCTTGATAATGCCGAAGATATTCAAAACTCAAGTTCTTCTCATTATGACTTTGAAAGTTTCATTGAGTTCCTGGGAAGCCATGCAGAGAATCTGAAGATATTTTTGGGAACAAGAAAACGCATGTGTACAATATACTTTGAACATAAATCATTTAAACTCTCTCAACTTGATGATGAACCATCTTTGAGCCTCCTTCTTGCTTTGGCTGATGGCACAAGTTTAAACATTCCGCATGAAGAAAATGAAATGAAGAAACTTGCCATCCAATGTTATGGTGTCCCACTTTTAATCAAAATTGCAGCTGATTTTGTAAAGAATGGATACGATCCAACRAAACTTGCAAATGATTTACAAAAGAAACCTTATGATGTTTTAAACTTGAAAGAAAATGAACTGATGAAGTTCTTGACCAACTCTATCCAGGTTTTTCTGGACAGTCTTTCAAGAGAAAAGCTAGTATGTTTGGTACAATTGTCCTGTTTCCCTGCACAATTCATGGAGGACACTGCTAATGAAATATTGTTTGAAGATGATGTGAAATGTAGTGGCATGYTGTCCTCTCTTCATGCCAGTGCCTTAATACAGCTGGATGGAAAAAGGTACAGTCTACATCCCTTGATACAGACACTCTGTAGAGAGGACAAGGAACAAGAAAGRATGAAGTGCAAARAAGAAGGGGAAAAAGCCACWGAAAAATTCAGCTATTACTATTTTGATGAATTAAAAAAGCTTCATTGCCAGTTTGTCAGCAAAGATGGCTGCCAGAAAGCTGTAAAGCAATTCTGGAGTTCCAAGATGAATCTACTTCAAGCACTTGAAAATGCTTTAAAGTGCAAGGATAACAAGATGAAAGTTAAATGTATTGATGYATTTAATGCAAGCATCAATCTGTTGGGCAAAATCATGCCTCCAAGTCGYTGTTTTTCAGTTTATGAGCAGTTATATGATGAAGCAGAGAGAATTAAGGACAAGGAGAGAATGAGTGAGTGCCTTGTTTCTCGTGGCTTTCGATTCATGTGCGAGGTAAGCCATGGTAAATTTTCCCAAGATGCGTTTGATGCTTTTGATACAGCACTCTCTTTATGGAAGAATGATTCTTTCAAGACCGAACAGTGCACTGAAGCATATGCACATTGCCTTAGCAAGCAAGGCTTGTGCTACATCTTCAAGGGAGACACAGAACAGGGTTGGAAATTGATAAATGATGCAATCCCTATCCGTCGTCAACTTGGCGACAAGGTGTTGTTAGCTGCTAGCTACTGTGATAAAGCAAGTAAGGAACAACAAATAATAGATATTATTACATAGTCACCTCACTACRTATTCTCTCATTCGTTGAGAACTGTGCTTTATTAGTGTTTATTATATAGTTAGGATAGTACGTGCGCGCTGATTGGTCGAAAACTGTACTTTATTAGTGAACGGAGCACAGTACTGAGGAAGCTTGAGGAGAAAATGCTGCCTTTGTAATTACATCTGCAAATGGTAGACTTTCAAGTGGCTCGGATAACAACTTTAAATGGCGGTCCCGTCTCTCCACACTCATCATACTAACCAACATCGCATGTGCGTAAAAGCACCACTGAGGACGTAAAAAAAACCCTGGCAGTGACCACCCTCAGTGCCTACACTTCATACTTACCATCTCTCATGCTTGTAAAATTGCATAAAAGCAATCTGTCATTCACAAATCAATGTAAAGCGCCTTCGTGATTATATTCATATAGAAAGGGCGCTGTATAAGTCATAAATCTGTGTTCAGGAATGAAGCATGGAAAAACGCGCGCTGTCTCATTTTATTATGCAAAATATACTTTTAAAATACGTGTATCTAATTTAAACAAAGTAATTGTATTCTCTGATTTGGTTCGAAACAGTTGCTTCCCGCTTCTGCAATGACCATGCTCAAGCCATCGAAATATTTGAAACCCAATGCCTTCCAGTGTACAAAGATCAGTTAGGTGACCACCCCTGGGTAGCATCACTACTTGACTACATGTCCAAATCTCATCAAGATCTTGGGTGTCTGGCAAAGGCCATTGAATGCAACCAGCAGTCACTTGAMATTCGTGAGAAGCTACTAGGAGATCATCAAGACACAGCTAGATCATATGTCCGCCGCGGTGAGCTGTTAGTACAGCAGGACAACATGGAAGATGCTCTTGAAGCATACAGAAAAGCCGCATCAATACAGGACAGAGTGATGGGTGTCCATGAAGAAACTAAGTCCTCTTATCAAGCTATGGAAGAAATACTTCGCAGACTAAACAGGAATGAAGAGAGTCAACAGATCACGGAACTTGTTGAAACCCACACTACTAAGCTAAAGAATATAAGAACATTGAAAAGACAAATATCAGAGGACATCAAAAGAAGAGCAGACTCGTTCCAGGACTGAACAAGGCCTGGTAGCAGTACTCATCAGCTGCGCATTCTTGCGTAATAGTGTTTTCGGGTAAGGTATGCTGCAAACCAGAATTGATAAAAATAACTCAACACCGTCTAAATGTTTAGTGTTGAGTTTTCTACTACATAAAAATGTTAGATTGTGAGCCAAGGTTCGTTAGACCCGCGTTAGAYCCCCAGGCCTCTCAAAACCACGCCACAACAGGGGTCTGTTTTGATGGCAAACAGGCCCCCCGCAACCATGCTCACAACTGGCCATGATGGGGTATGATCAAGTGATCACCATAGAAATCGATCCTGCATGTTAGTATATGAAATATTCATACGTATGGGAAGATATTGTGTCTCTAGAAACATGCTGGGATTACAGACCACGTGTCATTCATTAGATCTAAGATACGCAGGTATACCGACCTGTGTTACTGGTAAACAAACATGGCTGACAGCCACGTACTTTCTGTATGAAATATTTTTTGAAAGAAAATTTTAGTGTTAGGAAATCATGAAATAATTATACGTATAGTCAAGGGCGGATCCAGGGTTTTTTGAAGGGGGGGTCTAAGGGGTAAATTTTGTGGGCAAAGAAATCCCAGTCGCATTTTTGCCACAGGAAGCCCATTTGACCTCAGGAATGACAGGGGGGTCGCGACCCYCCCGACCCTCCCCCTGGATCCGCCCTTGTATAGTTCATAAGTTAGATCATAGTTATGGTTATATGAAATTAGTTTTATAATTAATTAGGATGTTTGAACTTTTTTAACAAGCATTTATGACTCGCCGGCTCGACCTAGTATTTTTTACAGATTTTAATATCCTTTTGACTTTAATTTGTAAGTCAATTGGTCCAAGTTTAAATCATATGTTTACTATAAAATGTAAATTAAGATATCATTCGAGCATGATACATACAGTCAAACTGAGGAGAGTCCAAGTCATTGTAAATAATGTGTGCAAAATAGTCATTGGTAGAAAAAAAATAAAACCACGATAAACGTCAGTATTGTTATGTAAGTACTGTTTAATAAACGAGCAGGAGTGTTTTATCGGGTTTAAAACCACGAGGCGTAGCCGAGTGGTTTTAGACCCGATAAAACACGATCTGCKMGTTTATTAAACGGCTTCAAAAACTTTAAGTATAATTCACCGAAACCTTTGGTTGAAGTAGAGCGGCCATATACCTTGCGAACCTTGACTTTTATACTTTGATAGTCGTTTGTACAGCAATGTCATGCGCAGTGAGGTTTGTATGTCACTGCCATGCGCAGTAAGTGCAAAAAAGGCTCCCACAAGTTGAAGACAACATGCCGAACTCAAGACATGGGCACTAGACGACGATAATTTATGGGTCGTCGATGATCGTACGTGAGACTGAYCTTAATGAGACTCTAATACCCCATTGACACATAAACGTTTTTAGTTAAACTATGTTTTCATTAGGAAAGAAATTGAGAAACTAGAAACCTACAAYATAATAAAACTTTCTAAAATATTGTCAGAGCAAGACAAAGGATAGTTTGCATGAGTTATTTTACCAAATATTGTGCAGTGTTCGTAGATAGTTCMAAACCTGTTTAGTTAAAACACTTTAAAACATGTTTAATCCTTGGTGTGAATGGGCTATAAGTCTTCATCTAAACTTGGATGCACCTTTWTTCTGATAAGGTTGTCCACATTAGTATTCTTTATATAAAGAATACTAATGMAGAGGACTTTATGGGGTTTAAAGGTCCATGCACGTGACGTGTATGGTCGCTCCAATTGGTACAAATGCTCATGAAATATTAATGATTTTTGAATATTAGTATAATTGAAGACTTGAATATAGAGTTTCTCGCCCTGTGATTGATCGATCGAAGGGGGGGCTATGCCAAATTACTGTTGCCATGAAGTGGGGTTAGGTTGTGTTTGCAACGTTTTCCATGTGATTTTGCMGAACCGAATCCGAAAGGAGTTTTTTATTGAAGTGAAGCGAGAATTTGTATAGAGCGGCAAATGAGCAACGAAGAGACGCGCAGAGGATGGTGGACTTTGCGGAAGTCTCCACAGGGACTGATATTTAAATACACCAAAAGGATTATGGTAAGTATATTAATATCGTAATACCGAAGTCTACGTGCRCCTTTCAGAATAGCCCACTCGTAATCTGCAAGTGCACCGGATAAAAAAAATAAAATTACTTCCGTCTTTAAAAATWAATGGTCTCACTGACCATATCAGGTGCGATACGACACGATCTGATGAAACCCAATGATTGGTACTAGACCCGTTCTCAGTGTTGCCGACGCTAAACTTCGATCGATCGATTAGATTTGCCTTGACGTGCTTCCGTTTAGTTGTCAATCCTATTYTATTTTTCTGAGGTTGTTTTATTCCGAGTCTCAGTGATCGTAATTTACGTATGAAAACTCAAAAACAGTTTTCATTAGATAAATCACTAACTTTGTCATTATAGAAGTTAATGGAGACTAATTAAAAGCTGTATTCAWTAATATCAGATGAGCATCAATCGTTAATCAAAATGTAATATTTCATTAGTTCAAATGTCACTGATCCGACTATAAAGCATATAAAGTGCGTTCAAAATGTCGACGTCACCACACAGGCGCCAGGGATTTCGTAGCACACGTTCATCGTA